TGAGACTATGTATCTGCCATTTTCGTAAGATATTTACTTATGTAATTTACAGTTCCTATGTATCATTGATTTCCTTAAAATTATGTTATTTGTACGTTGATATTCGTGTTTGCTCTTTATATTCAAGTGTGAGAGATTTGTTTCAATGCTTATAAAAATTGTGTAATTGATTAAACGTTAGAGTCAGTTAAAATTATTTGTTTTTTTTTTTAAATAATTAGTTTTAGAGAAGCTAAATACACTTATAGGTCGCAAATCCTTGAAGTGTGATGGAATGTTAGTTTTTGGAATAGGTCTAATGATTGCCATCTTCCACAAATCAAGGAATTCGCAGGTTCTAAAGGTTAAAATCTATTGAGATTTATTTACCAGAGCCGTGAGGAATCTTAAAGTCCGCGGAAGAGTAAGCAACACCATATCGCGAGAAATGTTGTCCACACCGCTGGCATTACTTTTGATGATTTGAAACCACACGAAGTCTAAAAGTTATTGAACCGTGCTTATGAGTTGAAAAATATGGCTGATAAGCCATGTCAACACTGCAGGTGGGCAAATCAAGAAAATAAGTGTTTAGCTTATCAGGATCTTTTAAATGTCAGGGAATGTCTCGGTCTTTGGCCTTGAAATCGGCCACATTATTCCTTATATTTTTCCAAAGGTCGCGCGGTTTATGAGCATTAGAAATAATACATTGCTGAAATACCAATTTTTTTTTATTTTTGTAAAATGTTTTGTGCGTGTCCACCCCAGTATTTCGAAATTGCCGGTGAGCGGCAGTTTCATCCTTTTCACCCCTATATCATAGCGCAAAGGAAATGTTTCAGGAGGTAGATCATTTTGCAGGTTCGAGGAAGGAACGAACATAATGCCCGCGTGGTCTTACAAGGCATCTGTGATGTCGAGATAGGCTTCTACTCTGGCCAAAGGTGCGATGGTGGAAACGAAACGGTGTCACCAGTTCGAAAAGTTCCTCTGCGCAGTCCCCGTCATAGAGACGGTGGAACACACACAGAGAGCCAACGTCTCTTCGTAGACTAAGAGACTCCAAACAGTCTGTGATTTTGGGATCATCGACAATACGAAGAAATGCTGCTTCGTTCTATTGAGCACTCCGAATATTTTTGAAGCCGTTTTGGTTTTGCTCTCCAAATGACCCCGGAACTGGACTTTTTTGAGATGTCGACTCCAATTATCCCAATACTCTTAAAGATGTTAAGGGCAGTGCTCTGGCACTTAAAGAAGGTTGATCTTCAAGTACTTTAGCATCGGATTTAACGTTATCAATTGATTATTGAGCCTTAGATAAATCAGAATGCAAAGGCTCGTGCCACAAAATTTATTGTAAGGGATGATAAAAGAGGAAAAGGAAGGCTGCAACAAAAATAAAATTATTCATTGTACGATATTTAAAGCTTATTACACTACCCAATTGCTAGGCCCTGCTTCAAGCCTGGGCAGGTTCTTAGTTAATGAGCCGCATATTACACTACTCTGCCGACCAGGCCCTAACTCATTCTGAACGCGAACGATGAGAGCGTTGTACGTGTTATTATCATGGTACCATCTAAGCTTGTATTTGTTGTTTTTTATAAATTTGTTTTGTAAATTTCAAGTAAAACTTTAAAGCCCTCGGCCCTTGTTTCCTTATTAATATAGATTTTCTTCCTTAAATAGAGCATGTTTTTGTACATGTCTATCCGGTACAATAAAACTTATTTTTCTTTACTGCACGACATGGCGATAGCAAAACAAAATGGCTGCGTGAACCAGAGGGACGAAACGATATGACTGCTCTCCGTGTTCGTCGCGCGTCAACTGAGCAAACTCCTTAACTGCCATAAGTGTTATTTATTACACAGCTCTAGCTGCAGGGTGCTGCCGATTGGGTCGCCCCAAGTCGCCCTAAATAAGGACTCCAACTGCCTAACCTTTGTCAGACCTTCCTGATTTCTTGAAATTCGGTAATGAATAGACATCTTAAACCATAATAATATGTACTGTCTGTAAAATAAGCTCATAGCCCCCTGGCGTATTTATTACGGAACACGGGAGGGAAATATTTCTGATAACAGTCAAAAATAAGACTTACTTTTTTGTAGATTTCAACTAACGTAGTATATAATATAATAAATAAAAATTATGCGAAACTTTGTGTTTTTTTATAGAGCGAAGTTTAGTCAGTCGTGTTTCGGACCCTATAGTTAATTACCAATATCTTCTGTTTTCATTACCAATTGAATTTACATTTTTGAAGTCGAAAAACCGATTTTCATGTAGTCAAAATATGTCGAAACGTCCATTTTGGGTCTCTCGTTCTCATTTGACCTTAAAATACAATTAAAATAGTCAAATATCGAGACAAATATGGGTATACATATAATAGTTACATATATACAAAATAGTAAAATAACAAATAGGCAATCTCAAATGCAATTCATTGGATTAACACTGAGTGATGATCTAAAATTGAAGGAAGTACTTGTTAGTTTCTCGAAGAAATTAACATACAGAAATTGCAATCCCAGCTTCTTGTTATTGTCACTTTATTATAACAACAAAGTTTTAAATAAGTGCTTCGCTTTTATTCACCAATCACAGATAATCAATAAACAAAAATAATTAAATTCGGAACAGGTATTTCCTTTAGATTAAAATAGTCGCCACTGGTACTTACTTGGCTAAAGTATCTATTATGGGCTAATTGTAACAAATGATCTAATACATTTAGTTAGTGAATACAACAAAGATTATTAGCATTAATAATTAATACTAAAACCATAATATTAGAAAAATCTAATTACTAACTCCGTAATAATTGTGTTGTGGAGTATGGTCAATAATTTTTATTGCCTACTATTAAAAGGTTGGTCACTGTGTTAGATTGACATTTAGTTAGCTATTTTAGTCATATCCCTAAAGCCTACACCCTGGCATGGCAGTACGCCAGCTGCTCTAAAGCGGTAGTTGTAAATTTAGTTCCGCCGACTACTTACCGCCCTACTAAATTCCTACGGCACTGCATTCCAACGATATTTTACTGTCACGATGCAGGCAGAATGCAGCTCGTGTAACTGCGCATTAACTCTACAGGGTTACATTTGTCTGATGTTACTAACTGTCCTTAGAAATAAAGCGGTTTCGCCCGCCTTAGTTGAAGCGTTTTATTTTAATTAATATACCCACAGTATATAAATGGCCACAAACGCACCTGATGGTAAGGGACGAATTTGACCAGTGCCGGTACAGTTTGTCTAATAAATACCTATTCGCTCTAGGCTTGAATGGGTATTCAAGTTGTTGTTCAAATTGTATTTTTATTTTATTTATAATCTATTTAATTCCTGTACCATCTCTGGTGCGTCGCAACGCTATGATTTCAAAGGCTATTTCAATTTTTTGTATCATTTTTAAAACAAATTGCTCAACTTGTTCATTAGATACGCATAATAAAAATATGAATTTTGTAAAAATTCAAGCTTGTGTACACTTCATTAATATTGATTTGAACATTTATTTATGACGTGCTGTTCTTTCGTTAGATATGTAAAGTGAGGCAAGTGAAAGTGCTCTATCAAAATATCGTTGACCAGTCCTCAATATTTTCTAAAACTTATATTTTAACGGTATTAGATAATTAATAAGGATCTATTAGTTACCTTTAGCGGAGAAATAAGAACACACCAGCATGTAGACACCTATGCTTTTGGACGTGTGTTTGTACGCATTTATGTGTGTTATAACATATACTATGTTTCTATTATTATCGCTGTATAAACCTGTGCCTTATCACTCGCTGTATCCACCTCCTTCTTCGATTCTACCTGCTAGGCAACTAACACTGAGACACGTACTTACAATCATTCACTGACACACGCTGCGACACCACACCATTCTCTCATAAACACACATCATTATTTTTTCTAAACGTTTCACCATTTACCGATGAATAGCCAGAATTAAAAAAAAACTAAATTTAAGTTATATGTCACTCACACACTCATCAAAAACATGTAGAGATCAAGCACGTTTTTGCCATTTACGATTACAATTATTTCAAAATCAGGTTTTGTAGTTAATATCTACACTAATTTAATAAATTTGTATAGAAAATTTAATTTAATTTTAATGGAGTAATCAAATATTTAAAAAATGCCTTGATGACACACATCAAGTGTGTACGTATAATCCTATTCAGTAATTCATTTATAAATCGTATTTTAATTCTTTGAATGTATTGGTATTATAAATAAAAGAAATAAGAATGATTTCAATGAATCATTTTCGATCAACTAAAAATTACCTTTCGTGTTCGTGTTGTACGGTATTTTTAAGGGTTTTTGTTTTCTTAGTTCAAATTTAAATTGTGTACACATCTGAATAGTAAATAAAGATAATCTCAGTACAGAGTACTAAAAAAACCGATCTTAAATAGTACGTGGAATTACATCTATTTGCCAAGTTTTATTGCAAATATCCCCTAGTTCGCCACTACACAGGACTTGACACAGGAGATAATAAAAATCGGTTCTCACTACTCAAAGTGTATCGAGAGAGAAAAGGCCTTGAATTGGAGTATAGCAAAACCAACCATTAAAATAATTGCTCTTTAAGTAAAATTTAGGCGCTATTTATAAAAATGTTCATGCGTGATCAGCCACGCTTAGATATGGATGATCTTCTTATTGAAATGGGACCACTATGGAGCTACCCTCTTTCCAACAGAAAAATAATCGTGAAAATCGGTTTACAAATACCGGAGTTATCGCGTAACATACATACAAAAAAAACATACAGTTGAATTGAGAACCTCCTCCATTCCAGTCGGTTAAAAAATTCGAGGCAAGTAAGACAGTATTCGTAGATGTTAGTGCTTGACATCTACGAATTGATACTTTAAAGTGCTACGTGCTAGAGCGTGACATAGACATGACATAGAGAAAGTCCATGTTCATCAGAAGATTTTGTTTCAAGGATTACTATAATAATTTTTGTCTTGTCAGATATTTAGCGAACAAAAAGCAACTACGCGCCGCTCTAGATGCGGAGTTGCGTGAGGAGGAAAATCTGACTCATTCATTGGACGATAAAGGCAAACTTCTCCTAGAGATGAAAACCTCGCTCCAACAGATCAACCAGCTCCTTTCCAGTGTCGGTCAGTACCATGCTTTATATTTTGTTTATCTGGTTGGTTGAAGCAAACACGTTGGCATGTAGTTCCTCTGTTAGACGTGTATGTTACAATGACGCAAAAACGAATGAATCAAATCATCTAAGGTAATTCAAACGTTTGTTAGTCTCTAGTTAAAAAGAAACAGGAGGTGCCTTGCAAATTAGTATGAGCTTAAAGGTATATTCTAAAAAATGTTGTGGGCTTTCAGTGAACAATGAGGTCGCTTGCTAGCTTGAAATTTTACCTTTTATGTAAAAGCGAGGTATTAAAAGTTCAGTAACAAAGGCGGCAAATATTACGAAGTCAGACAACTTACCTTACGATTACTATTATTTTTAATGTTTTTATTAGCAAGGTAACAATAAAAACACTTCTATTCGAAGTAAAAGCTGAGCCTCATGTTTCGGGGAGGTAATATTTAAAAAGGTTATCCTATCTTTATTGTTGAACTTTGTAAAAATAACAAGTCTAGTCAAATAGAACGAATCAAGTAGCAAAAGAAATTGTGTCAATATTTAGAATTTAGATTTCCGCTACTTGAAGAACTCACTGAAAATATTTAAAACTTTAATATTCTGGCCACACTGAGGCGACCGCAGGCGCCTTTCGAGCGCGGGATTTTTTGTAATAATAATATACAAATTCATGTTTATGAACCCTGCCACACTGAAACGCGCGGTGGGTCACGCGCGTCGGGCCGCGCGGGCGTGGCGTCCCGGTACGGGGTCGAACGCTGTGACAAAGAGGCGGACCAGGATCCCGATTCAGAACTCTTTGATATTTTAACTGAATCGTTCGACTGGATACCGTTCTCGAATCGAAGGGCGCTTTCCGAGTTATTCAGAACATTCCGAGTTAAACGTTCGATTGGGATTCGTATACGATATCGTTATCCAACAGCGTTAGCCGGGTTAGTCGGGGAAATAGATTATAAGAATAATGGAAAATCCTTTTACATACATTTGTAAAACTTCAAAGGCCTAAAATATAGGAATGCATTAGTCTTGCATTAAAATAAATTAATACAATTGAAAAACATCCTGACTTTATTTAAAATGATAAGAGATTTCCATATTACATTCTTGTTTTGCAAACAATAGGACGTTAGGTAACTTTCACTCGATAACAATGTTCTGAATAACGTTTGTAGACTTTGCCGATCGAGAAGTTCAAGTAATCGTCCAGATGTGACGTCATTTCGATTCGGTTTCGAATACGGCAGTTTGTCGTTCGATTCGGGTGTTGTGAATAATATGAAAAGAAATCGTACGCCGAATTATCGTAAGGTTCTGAATCGACTTACGGTGCGGGGCAGACCCGGGGCGAACGCGGGGAGGGTGTGGGTGTGGGAGTTGTATTCCAGTGAATTTTTTTGATTGCAACCGTCCACACAGATCGGTAGCAGCGGAGCGGGACTTTAACGGGCTACGACGTTGTATTTTTTTTTTACAACTCTTGAGTGTGTTTTTATTTAATTCCAATATGAATTCCATCGAATTTATTTGGATGTTGCTTCCGTAACGCTAATAAAAGCAGAAAAATTACATGATCATTATCCGACAGGTTTATTCTTCAAAATCTGTGTTGAAAATGAAACGTGGCGTGTTTTGGTGTCATACTGGCCGCCTTCGAGCCGTTGTCTACCGCCGCGAACTACGCTTGTGACCGCTGTGTGTCACGCCCCGGTACGCATACGCTTGCCGCAGGTCCGCCCCCGGACCGCTTATCCCTCTGCACCGCTTTTGTGTGGCCTGAACTTAAGTGATAATTCTGCTCATCCAAATATTTGTCTGCAATTAGTAGAATTTATAAAAAGTAATATCCACTACTGACATTCTATAGGTTATGATCTTTGTAGATATCATAATTTTTGCCTGACATTGTATAATAATAGAATCACTGGTAATTAGTGGGCTAGACTGGATGTTTTATACACTTCATTGATTTGTGAAAGGTGCTTCACGCGCGCCGCGTCCTTACGGAGGCGTGCCACAAGCTATCCAGTACGCACTCGATGAAATGATCCAGCCCGTACCAGAACTCGAGTCCGACTGTGAGTACCCATCTACTTCTGCCTTAGCCGTAACAAGTGTTGCTTTCAGTTAAAGGTTAAAGATCTACTATCCGGACGGAGATCTGTGCACCGTGTGCCTACAAAAGTGACACATGACGTTCATGTGAACGCAACAGCAGTGCGTATCGTTTATAACCAACACTATTCATGTGAATGCGCAGCTAAACTATGCGAAGATGCGATACATTAAAACGAACACTGCAACATAAACTTTATCTTCTACGAGATGAGGTTACATTTCTATAAACAAAAATTAAAAAGAAGTTACAGGCAGCAAGGGGTGCCGCGCCGCAATGCTCGACGCATCCTGTCTTCCATAGCTTGTGTCGCCACGCGCAATGCAAAGTGTAACTTAGCTTCTCAAGAACAAGGTATATTATTATATACGAGTACATAATAGAATACTAACTAATACCCTACTAATACTTTTTGTTATTTGCATTTTTAGATTTTTGTCTGTGATTGCTTTCAAAGAAATATTCATTTTATCTGGAAGAAATGGAGTTCTATATTATTACATTGCTTGAGCTTGAGACACAATAATGCAATATAAATGTTTCAAAATTGTTGAAAAGCTAAATTACACTTTCTTTCGGAATGCGCGTGACGTCAATGAGTATTTTTTGTATACAAGTAGAATCAAGTGTCACTCATATGAGCAATCTTATTGCTAACTAGACCATATGCATTACACGCAGTAGAGTATAACAAAATATATTATTAATTTTAAAAAGTGGCTATCAATTGCCACTTACCCCATAGAGGTCACGTTGGACTCGATTGCTTAAAAAAGACAAATAGTACAGCATAATGTATCGAGACAATTTTTATGGCCTAGCATTCAAATGAGCTTGACAAGCGCACTTTGTCCATCTTTTATGTTCCAATTAATTTGTATTCATGGACAACGATTCACTCGACTCTCGCCTCTCTCTCTTCCCTACAAGAGTCACTAATGATCCACGCTCACTGATCCAGTTAATAAAATAAAACTTGTCTGCTGTGAAAGGTATGTTGAGTACTACCAAACTAAATACTTGAGACACGTGCCGCCTTAATTTCTCCCACGACTGTTTCGTCCCAGTATGCCTTCTCCATTTATGTTATTCTTAATCGTGTCCTTCATTGCCATACAAATTAATATTATTTTATTTTTACTTGTGTTTTTACGTTACTGTTGGTTATTGGTGTATAACTTTTTGAACATATTTTCAAGTTATTTAGCTTAGAAATAATTATATAGTTGACAGGTAGAAGTTGACCGACTTTTCATCTAACTTAAATCAAGTAATTACACAGTTGACAAACTGATAACGACGGCGAAGCAGAAGTTGACCGTATTGGTTGGTGCGGTGTCTAAGATGGAGGTGACGAATGAGGTGAAGGCCAACGCCAAGCAATTCTACCATAATATTCTGGCGCGAAACATGCGCGAGAATTTCAAGGAGGAAGCCGTAATCGAAGGAGGTAGATAATTAAGTGTCAACTTTTTTGTTATTTACAATGATCGTATATGTCATAATGTCATATTATAAAGTTCTCAGTTACTAAAATGATCTCCATGTCTCGATTTCCGTCAACTCTGCACAGAAATCACATTTGGCCTGTTTTAAAATTTTGGTTTTATTATTCGCCACAGTTTAGGCGGTAAGAAATATGTAGAAATCATAAAACAAAAGTTGAAATTATTTTTAAACAAAAGGTCGGGCTAAAATACACAGGTCTAATAGCTCTAAAATGTAATTTAGGAATGGATAGTGTCAGAATGGGGAGTCACTAAATTACGCCATAGCCATGCGAGTGCAGCGGTGTGATATAGTGTTGACGGGGTCGCCATATCGCCTGTTCCATCGCTATCACAGTCATTACCACACCCTTACAGTCATTACTCTTAGCCACTGCTTCTATTCCTGTTCCAATTCATTTCCCTCAGAGAACTAAGTAATTTTTTGTTAAATTTTATAATTATACACAAACGCTTGTTTCATAAGCTTTGATAGCCTAATGGTTAGACCTACTGCCTCTCAAGCAGAGGGTCGTGGGTTCGAATCCGGGCTTGCACCTATGATTTTCTCGGAATTTATGTGCGAAATTTAATTTGAAATTTATCATGAGCTGTTCGGTGAAGGAAAATATCGTGATGAAACCTGCACGTTGAAGAAGGTTCACAACCCTCGGAAAACCTGTTAAGTTCCCAACCCGCATTAGACCAACGTGGCGGACTTTGGTCTAAACCCTCGTGTAAAAGGAAACCCGTGCCCAGCAGTGGGACATTTATACATGGGTTGATGATGATGATGCTTATTTCATGAATCTTAACTTCAGTTTTCTCTTCTTTCTTTCTCTCTTATTATACTTTTGTCGCTCCAAAGTTATACTCGGTCAATTGTACTCGGTAAAATATAGAAATATTTCTTTCTTCAAAAATCCACACAATTTAGAACGATACGGCAGCTAAACTTGAAATAATATTGTATATTTGGTGAAAATTAAATGATGTTGGGTTTTTAATTTAAAAGGACCTTTTCTTCGTCATCACTGCATCACTGGGAGCAATTGATCTATTGTAATCACCACTACTCACAATTTAAAGTCAAGACACTTTTCAAGGCATTTTCCTGGCATCAATACTTTTATCTCCTCTGAGGCATGTGTCTGCCCAGTAGCTAATATCGTATAAGTTACCCATCAAGGGGCAGTATTGGGTAAAGAAGTGCAGAGGAGTCTCGTCCGCTTCGTCGCAGAATACAGTCTCTGCTCTATCTGCTCTGTTTGAACGATGGATGGATGCTTCGTTGTCCTTACATATCACGGATACAGTATTAAGGAATCTTTTCATAAGATGTTTACCATATCATCCGCATAACCCTGAGCGTTAAGGTTCAGTTCCGCCAGCTTATCCGTATAAGCTCCGTGAGCGTACAGAGCAGTAATGACAATATATACTTTATCAGATTTATTTAATATACTTCCAACTCGATTGATATGTTTATCAATTATTCAATTTCTCATTTAAATAATAAGACTTGAATGAGGGCAAGAAAGACTTGTTTTAGAATTTAGTATATATTGGGTTGTAATATAAATGAACAATTTTTGTTTTCGTTTAGGGTTGATTGAGTTTGAGATGGAAGATCCGAATGTACCTAGTCACGCCATCATAAAGTTGCGCAGTAAACAGCTGGTCGACGCCCAGGTCAGCGAGTTCGACGTCGTCGACAAGAAATAACCCATGACGGCTAAAACTAACGTTGGTTAATTATAATATTTATAAAAATTTTAAACCAGTTTCTTCATATCGAGTTCTTAGTTCAGTTTCTTTATTTTACCATGGATCTACATTTACTAATTAATATATTTTTTTACTCCTGTTAATGACAATGCATTTACAAAGTCAAAGTAAACATTTATAAACTAATGTTTACTCGTACATAGTCCAACCAGAACGTCTAATTAATAATTGTTCACGATACAATACAATATTAAATTTTATTCCATAGATGGCAATTGTGTTTTGGCGTCACAAAAAAGGTACGAACTTTTTTCAGCTAGTAACAATAGTACTCAGGATAACAGCGAAATAATGATATTTTATGATGGCAAAAAGACTTTTAGGTTTCCTATACTAATTTCAATTTGAATGAGGCGCCAAAAATTTGTTTTTGTAATTTAAAATTATTTTGTGATAAAACTGTTTCTTATCTTGTTAATACGATTACCAGCGGAAATTTAGCCGCTGTTTCTATCTTACGCTGTAAATAATGATAACTAGTCTATTTCAACATTACAAGCGTTTCCGTTTTGATTGTTTTCATAGAAATATACGACTCTGTTCATCTAGAATAACTAAAGGTATGGTGGGTTTATATGTAGAGAATTCGTAATTATACCTGCATGTTAGTCTATGATAGATTTCACTTTTATTGTCAAGTGACGCTTTGATTTGCTGAAAAATTTTGTGTTTATAAACTCACATAAATTACAATGCAAGCAAAAAAATTAACCAACGGATTTTGTTCTACGATATTCGATAATACATGGTTACAAAAAATGTATAAAACTTATCTTACTCCCGCAATATACGTATTCATGAGGTAAATGGATGCAAAAAATTCTTAAATCTTTCTTTTTATTAGTCTTAAGCTCTGTTTCTGTCTTAGTAGAATAACATGCATAAGTTTGACATCGTAAATACTCTGCGTAACAAGTGTAACAGTAAAAAATAGCCTATAGTTGTTTCTGGACTAAGTTGTGAGTTTGTGTGATTCTACTTATAATGATATTAGTGTGTGCGCTTTCAAATTGGACACTTGTAGAAGCGCTGCAGTAATTTTTAGTTCACTTTTGTGACTGCAAATGTAGTGCGCGCGTGTCACGATAGAGAGGCGCTGCAACTGCGCTTCTAAATATTGTATGAATATTTGTGAGTACTGATCCCACTGCAGTGCTTCTATAAGCATCTAGTTTGAAGGCGCCCTAAGCAGTCAAATTTCCATTAATTATTATTAATTAATTAGGTGGTACTGGAATCACTATTGACTGTTATTGTTTTGTTCTATTATGCTCACTCAAATTTCGAGTAGAGTCCATAAAAATTTTAAGGTAATGTAAGGATTTTAACAAATTCATTATGAGACGATAATTATGTAATTTTATAAATCCGCATTAAAATTAACACTATGGCCGTATTGTATTAATTTTTTATTCGTATTAAATAATTAAAAAATGTTCTTAAATAAGGAAACAGTTTCATTATTTTGTATTATAGCGGAATACGTCATACGACTTCTCTTGCTCAATGACGTTTCGAGTAACCTTTTTAGTGGTGTATACTACCTCATTACTATAGGGCCCGGATTTAATATGTAATTACATATTTTTGACGTCCTTTAATTTGTTTTCTACATAAATAATGATATTTAGAATAAAAAAGTGTTATTTTATTTAATTAAAAACAAAGGTGCGTGTGTACTTGAAAAAATAATAGTAGGCGGAGAAGAGCAGGCGACAGAAACTTATAGTGCCCCCTATGTATAGCTATAATAATATGTAGCACGAAAAGGCCAACCTAAAATGTTATACCTGCAATATTTTTGCAATGTGTCTGTTATCTTCGATTGGGCATAGATTTTTTAAATATTTTTTCCAAAAAATTACATAGTTCAAAAAGACCGGTAGCGTTTGCGGCTTGCATTTTACAGGTAGACAATACTCACCACAGACCACATAAAATACTCACCTATCTCCTATATTCTCTATTCAATATTGGAAAAATTCAATACAGAAATTTAGCACTTACTTGAAGCATATTATTTAAACATAATCTATAAGCGAAAATTTACGAAATATTTGCCATAATTTAATCTATATCGAACAAGGGATTTACGCATCCGACAGCTTGACATTTCAATAATATTAAGAAGTCGAAATTTGGCACTGAGCACGGCTGTTTCACATTACTGCTTTTTTAAATTTAAAACTTCTATTTCTACAATGTAGAACAATAAACTCTCCTTTGGATCCGTATTATATACTTTACATACTTTATATACTTTGATAGTGGAATAATGAGGACAGTAACCGATGCTCACCTTATATTTGGTATTCAAAAAAAATTTTTTTTTTTATTATTGGTCTTTTCTTATAACGGTTGATGACATTTATAACCAGTATATCTTTTGATATTGATCTCCTAATAAATCTTGGTTGCTTGGTTGCGTCCTCCATTCGGTAGGTTAGGTAAGGTTAGTATATGAAAAAGCACAAGCTAATTTGCTTGAGTTTCCGAACATGTTTACAGGTCTATTTTTGATGCTCATTTGTCTTAGTTTTGAGGCCCAACTTAAAACTATCAAAGTTAATTTATAAAATCAAACATTTTTTGCGTAGCTCAGAACAGATTAAAATATACTTACATTGATTTAATTTATTTTATGTCTCAGAGAAAGAGGATCAATCAATAAAAAAGATGACCGTTTAGATTGTTAGACCAGTTCCTTTTGTAAATTAAAATGAATGACATTTAAATACATGTCATTTTATTTGGCATGTTGCGTTCACAAGGTTCACTTCCAGTGGGATACATTGTCATCGTATGAATTTGTTAATGAAATACTTTTAGCTTACATGTGAATTGTTCCAGTTTTGTGAACTTAATAAAAATAACTACTATATGGCTACGTCACTATAGTGAAAAATAGGGTGATTGGCATCGGGGTTGTTGCTGATGCAGATTTCTTATACATTACTGATGCGGATGCTGATTTTTTGACCTTGAATCAGCGGATGCTGCTGATTTGATCTATTTCAAAAAGAACTTGAATAATATACATGAACCTGTCTTCATGAAAAAGCTTTTGTATTTTCTTTGGTATTGTAATGGTATTGTAATAAAATATTGTTTCAATGACGTTATGACATTTATTCATAAAGTAAGCAATCTGTGTAAAATCTATAAATCAATCAATCTGTCTCTCAAATGCCTAGCTTAAACGTAGTAAATTTTTAAACGAAGTTATTTTTTAAAAACACTTGCAGTTTATTTCTGGTTTAAGGTTCGTAAATTATTTGAACGTACCTTTTGGTTTTTTAAACGTCGCGATTTGCCTAAAAACATCACTTCCACTATTATTCGTTTGCGCTTAGGCCATGTTTGCACACCTGTATTTTTGCGTAAAATCAGAGTTCGAGATCACTCTCTGTGCGAGTGCGGCCTAGAAGACGGTACCTTGGAACACATTTTTTTCAATTGTCCTAATAATGCTGTTCCACTTTATAACTTACTTTCTCCAAAATTCCCCCGCCCCGTTAACATAAACAACCTCTTAACTTTAGTGTTCTCCCCCCATATTGTTACTCTATGTAAATTTATCCACTTAAATAACATATATTTATAAATATTGTTTTGCTGTTTTGTTTTACATTCTCAACTGAGTACTCCCGTAGTCCAACTTACCAACACCGGTTAATGTCCTATTAGAGCTTAGCGAAAATTTTTTTTTTGTTTCGTTTTTTTTTCTTTCAACTGTGACATTGGCAAAATCATCAGTTCTCATATTGATGGAGCCATAAAAATAAAAAGTGAAGTGAAGTGAACGTACCTTTCGAGTCATGTTACGACTCGAACATCCGCAATGAATATCAGCATCAATCAATGCGGAGTCTGATGTGGACGCGGATATTTAAATTTATGCAGATTATCCGAGGATGCTGACATTCGCTACAATCCTGGATTGCATTAATATCTTAAATATATTTAAGATATTATATCTCAATAAATTTTCAATGAATTTTATATTATTGTATGTCTTGTATTCTCTTGTAGAAACGGGCAAATAATGTAACATAATGTTTTTAGTAGCAGTAGAGTCCTTGTGAAAGAGTTCGTCCAGGGAAGTACTGCCACCTTACCTATTTCTGCCGCCAAGCAGTAATGTCAGGATTATTGTGTTCCGGTTTTGAAGGGTACCTAAGGATGCTGGAGACATTACAGGCACGTGTGACTTGTCAACTTATGTTTCAAGGTGACGGGTGCAGTAGCAGTGCCCCCCAGATCTTTGTGATTTAAAGCTCTGAGTGGCACTGCAACTGTTATAGACAGGCGTGTAGCTTACCATCAGACGCACGACTTGTTCGTCCCGAGTTGATGTGGTAAAAAAGAATGTTAGTTCAATAAGGTAAGTATAAAAACAAACAAAAACAAGTCTATTTGGTTCAAACACGGAAATGTGTTTAGTGTGAATGCGTTTTGAATGGGATTGAAAAATTTATTTATAAAGCTGCCTGTGAATTTATCTTTATTTCGTGGATATACTTCATGAGGGTTATCCATGGATCGGCAAGCAAAAAGGGCCTATTTTGTATGCTACTTGGATATAAATGAAATGAGTTCTCCCGTTGCTTACAAATTAAGTTTGAATTATCGCAACACACAGCCTTTTTCTTAGTACTTAACTGTATGAGTACGTACATAAATGTAACTCGGTAAATTACGTACGAAGATCTTCCCCACTGAAACTCAAGTTCATAAAATATTGGTTTCACGTAACGCTATATCTACTTGTTGCCGAGGTAGGCAAGTAAAGCGGCCCGTGTCGGAAGGATTCCAACCGCACAGTTTACGCTGACAAATGGCTCACTCGTGGTAGAACTCGAGTTTCTTCAGTATGTACCTTCTTCCAAATAATAACTCATTCCACCCGCTTTTGATCGTAATTTTTGCTTTGCAACTTCTCATCCCCGCGGGCACTCCCCTTTGTCACGGAGTTTAGTACAGTATCTCCGTCTATAAATGTTTGGGACACTTTTATACAGGACCAAGTATTCTCTAAATTTTAGAAATACAAATATTTGCATGTATTTTTTTTTTAACGCACACACACAGCATAGCCCCGCATTAGGGAAACTCTGCGTCGCGGGTGCCATGGACACACACATAGACAAACACAAGTTACACCCAAACTCATGAGAGAAATAAATGTAGGCCATACAAATATTTCTCCCGGCCCAGGAATCGAACCTGGGACCTCTGAGTGTCAGTCCGGCATGGTAACCGTTCGGCCACAGAGGCAGTTAAGTATTGTTTAGCTGTTGTTGAAGTATTTGTTTTGTGACTAAACGTACTGACTACAGTATATACTAATACATACTAATGTATCTACTATATCTATGCGAGAAAATATCGTCATACATTATTAACAGTTCACACATCATTGTCGAAAACAACAAATGTTAGGAAACAATAAACAATTATAGGAAAAGCAAAGTTAAGTTATAAGGTATCATCATATTTTCCCTTTAGTAATTGCTAAGGAAGCAATTACCTATATCGTGGCCCGAGTGATATATTCCCCAAGTTCGTAGTCATTAAGTCTAATTTGGACCAGCCGTAGTTTGTTCGTAGTACCTAGTACCTACCTTATGCACGAATATGCGCAACTGGCAGTGATAGCTAATGTACTCGTGAACCCATAGATTTAGTATATAGGTAAATGTACTCCTGAATAAAGACAAGATTCTCAGTCATTGGTGACTCTTCGTCAGTAAAAAATACCACCTAAATACCTACAACCTCGGGTGCTCCTAATAATGTACAAGTGGCTTAATTGTCCGTCTTACAACTAAGAGCGCTTACGCACTACATCCAATCTGTATCATTTCCGAATCCTGTTAATAACTAATAACTGCTACCGGAAAAACTATGGGAGAATTATCTACTTGTGTTACTAGATCACTAATGAACTTATATAAATATTTTTCTTAATTGGTGCATCTCTTCACGAATAATTTATTGAGTTTAATGTTATGAAAATCTATTTCTAGGATCGTTATTTTAAATTTGAGTGCTCGAGGATAATCGACGTACTTAATATAGTTTTTTGTATATTACTAAATGTATACATAGATGAGCAGTTTCAGTAATGTTTAGTAAGGAATCGATAACACTGAATATATAATATAATAAAGGTATTCCGTTAACACAAAAATAGAGCGCTAATGTAATTCGTTCATTTAATGCGGCAAAACATTTTTGGTCTGTAACTAATTGGACGTAATCATAATCAGTTACAGATGATATTTTCAAGTAAAATAAATACCTCAGCGTTTAATTTTACTGTTTCAGAAAGGGAAGAAGATGAAGGAAGACATTCATTTGTTACCACAAGCACCACAGCAGAAAAACAAAACAAATACTAAATATGTGAAAGCATAATAAAAATAAAATCAAAAGAACATAAGAGATATCAAATCGATTCGTTGATATTAATATAAATGTATTATCTAACCAAACACAAACTAGTTAATATAAATTTGTTGTAATGTTAAAATTTAAGTGCAAGCATATCAGTATTCTGAGCACCTATATATAGACTGACTTAATTTGATGTCGTACTTTATAGATAAGTGGTGACGTTATCAGACATTATCAGGAAACGATAAGATTACCAAAGGAAGCTAGGAGTTTGTAATCAATATTAAATTCGAACAATTCCACAGTGTAATAAAAATTGCCTATGTATCTATGTAGTACAAGTGTGGTAAACGACACGTCATCTTTAATACAGTTGTGCTTATATACAGGTACGTATAATAGTCACAGGTGTGAGTGTTGAAGCCGCATCGTTTGTTATTAGTTTGCAACGTAATAGTTTGTATCCATACCTCGTTCCGTTAATGATATAGTTATCGGCTTACTCAGTACGCTTTGATTAAATGATTTGTACAGGTGTCCAGTTCTGTGCCAACTGCTTGCGCAACTCGGTGATAAGAGTCTCTGAACCGCAGTGTTTTGAAAAATGCTATCGTAACTTATGACCTGAATAAGTGTCTGGGGTGATTTTGGTGTTTATACAAGAGAAGTGACGAACGACAATGGATCGACTGAAGCACAAACAGAAGAAAGAGAAACCAATCAAGAATGTAGATAAAGAAAAAACACATTCTTTCATTAAAGACGTCAAAGCGATTCAGGAAAACTTGAAAATAAAAGAGATCTTGAGGACCGTAAGAATGAACAACAGTGTGCGAGTTCCACGTGGCAGCAAAATAACGAACAGTAAGCACCTTAATGACAAGGAATCCTTCTTTGACGACGATCTTAATGCTGCAGAAGAACAACGGATTGAACCATTTAGTGCGACTAATCCTGTGCTGGTCCCAACAAGTAGTGATATTACAGAGAGCGAAGATATTATTCTTAATTATAACGATATAAATTCAGAAGTAAATGATGATCCCGTTGTACAGAAACTGGATATTGTGCATGAAAATGAGATAAGAAATGAAATTTCAAAAGTACAAGAAGAGTCGTTACAAGATTCCCAAGAGACTGAAAGAATACCTGAAGAAACTCCAGATGTTAAAGCCCAGAAAGATCCAGAAAATAAGAATATACCGTTGGTAAAATTCCGTGACAGAAAATTGTCTTTAGATCAAACTATGCTATCACGACGCGTTTCCCAATCTGAATTGGACCTTCATTCAATAGGAAAATCTCCATTAGAGAGAAAATCATCTTTCTTCAAAAAAAAAATGGATAGCTTTCTTAAAAATACCACAGAAATATTTAAAAGGCAGTCGTTAAGTAATAAAGTAGAACTTGAACGTCGCAGAGGGTCCATGTCTGTATCATTGCAGTCGTTAAACGAGAAAACCGAAGATTTATTGAAAAACAATCAAGTAAGTAACAACTCGCAAATATTTTTATGAGTCTATATTTTTATCCCTTTCATAATACGTTTTTTTCCTATTCATTGCAATATTTTTTATAATCACAAGTATTTCTTCATAAAAGTGTTATTTATGCATTCCCAATTCCTGCATACAGTACGTTATTATGACAGGAAATTATATTTAAGGATTGGCTCCCTACTGAAATGTATCCTTTGCGCTATGACATGGTGTTTATCAAAAATTAAGTATTTATTTAATTGTATTTATTTATTTAAGCACACCAACAGATAGTACATTATTACATTGAAAAAATTGTACATGGCATTTCCGGTCATGGTCTGATGTAATGACCCATTACAGACATGCACAGCATTGACATGAGCAATAATACTACTTACTTAACACTAACATAAGTAATTAACATAGAAAGATATTTAAAAAAAATACATTAAATTAGCCAGTTTATATATAAGTATCAAAACTTCATCAGGTATTGCAAATGTCCGTGGTCGACGATGACCACCTCTCATGAAGTGGCCTCTGGTCGATTGCCCCTATTACATTAACATAAAAAAAATCTTAAGTCATAATATCACTTACTTATATTTTTATTCTAAAACACACTTTAAAGGAAAGAAAAGTTTAATGTAAGCTATTGTGATACTATCAGTAAACACTTTAAAACATTTGTTGTTTTTCGGACTTTCGCCAGACCTCGCTCAGTACCTCGAAACGTATAATATGTGAGTTTGACGAATAATTGCCCAGCTCCTAAAATGCAAATTTGAGTTCATAGTAATTTGATATTGATTTGTTCTCAATTCCAAATTTTTTACTTACTTGCTCATAACAAAAAAAGAATGAATGATTAATGAAAAAGAAATAAACTAATGTTTTTATTATATTTATATTTTTGTATAAGTATATTATCTGATTAAGAGAAGCTAAAGACAGAACTAAAATTATTATAATAAAATACATATGCTTGCATATGCTTGAATGGTTACCTGACACGCAGAGGTCCCAAGTTCGATTCCCGGGCCGGGAGTAATATTTATATGGTCTACATTTATTTCTCTCGTGAGTTTGGGTGTAATTTGTGGTTGTCTATGTGTGTGTCCATGGCACCCGCGACACAGGGTTATCCCTAGTGTGGGGCTATGTTGAGTGTGTGCGTTGTTATTATTATTGTTATTATCAATAGCTCAACCATTGACCACCATTAAACTTCTTCAATATAGGAAGGTAGCTTGACAAGTTTGCAGTCTTCCTCGACCGTGGGCCGGAGTAACTCAAGCTTAGCCGCGAGTCAGAGTCCGGCCCAGGAATACCGCGCCGGCAGCCAACCAGTTCTCTCTGCCAGCCAGCCTCTTGGTGAACCTTCGTCTAGGTATAATGGTAAGTAATTACAAATGCTCCTTTGTTTTCTTATTAACATTCAAACATGTATTTTTCCCCTCGTCTATGGGAAACTTCATACTACAACTAACTACATACCTACTGCTGACACCATCTTCAGACATACGCTGTCCATTCACAGGCAAAGGCCACTCCATTTACAAGCCCCTTGTGTTTTCGTATCCTCTGCACCCTGTCAACAAATTTATTAATGCCATCCTTCACCTTTCATCTAGAATCCATGAAGTTCTGCAGCGTGTCCAGAATGTTGATTTAGTTTTTCTTTACCCCGACTTCGTTTTTCTTCACGAACTCAAGATTACTCTCTAACTGCTGAAACCATGCTTATAGAACGACTTCCATCAAAATCTCTTGTATGTAGGACTGTTATTTGATATAATCAAAAGTCGAACACGTTAAATATCTAATTATATGAAAAATTAAGGTGGTTATCTAATGTTGTTGCGCTCTATTAATTTATATTGACACTCGCAATGTAATTTGTTTTTTATAAACAAAGGAAAGAAATGACAAAAACTAAAGTTATTCATTGAAATAAATAAAGTGTAAAAAGTACACCTAAAATAACTGGTTAAATATGAAAGTGTGGGATCGACAACGAGAATTATAGACGTTTTCGAGTTGTTTGGGAGTGCTTATAGAGAATGTGGCATTAATATCTAAATCCAAGATGGTTGCCAGGAATTTTCAAAAAATTATTTTTGGTAATCCTTATGGAAATCCCATTTATATCTGAATATACATATAATGGCGGACACGACTTTTCGCATTTCTAAATCCAAGATGGCGGGCACGATTTTTAGAATAATGGCAAGTTGGGTATCGTTTTCGAGGTATTTGAGGTGCTTATTACGACTATAGCACTTATTTGTAAATCCAACCTGGTGGACACGATTTTTTCAAAAAAATGCAATGTGGGTATTCTTTTCGAGTTATTTGGGGATGCTCATTACGAATATGGCACTCATTTCTAAATCCAAGATGGCGGGCACAATCTTTCGAATAATGGCAAGTTGGTTATCGTTTTCGAGGTATATGGGGGTGTCGCGATTTAGTACAAGTTTTTTAATATCAAGCATTAATAAATTTAGTCTGTTATGATACCTAAGAGTAGGGAACTAACACGGCAGTACAGGCATCTCAAATGAAGGTGAGATATCAGGCATCTATTGGGAGTGCACTGGTTGGTCGGCACTACAGTTGGTAAGTTTGCACAATGTTTATTACTAACGTAGATACAGTATTTGTTGACTAGACAGCCTGAAGATAGAGTATGACGAAACAGTAACAGAATTAGAATGAGACCGCCACTTGTCTTGAAGGTACAAGGGGGCATGAAGCGGTTGTAGAGGAAGGGCTATAGGGGTGTGTGCCCATCTTAGGGATCGGAGGATCCCACTAGTTCAGATCCGGAGGATCGATATGAGGTCAAGGACCTGTTAGGACAATTATAGTAGTCCTTTGAAGTAAAATGGAGTTAGAAGAAGTGTACATGAAGAAAGATATTCTATTTAAAGGTTGTTGTGATAGAAAAAATATCGCATATGTAATTTACATTATGATTGCACCTTAGACGTGGCGTGTGAGGGCCCGCATTTTAATGACACCTGTTCGAAATTTTCTACTACGAATGCCCGAAGAAAGAAACTAGGACCAAGATGTCACCTTTGCTTTAAGATAGGACATTTCATAAAAGATTGTAATATGAAGAAACCATGTTATCATTGCAAGGGTACACACAACAGAGCCTTGTGCCCAAAGAAGTTTGCCGTAAATTAGAAATAAATTGCTGTTCTATGTTTAACCAAAGTTAATTTTTGCAGACGGCAGTGGTGACTATAAAGAGTCAGAATGAGGAAAGAAAATGTAGGCTACTATTATTTAGTGGCAGCCAACGAAGTTACATCACACAGCAATTAGCAGATGAACTAAAGTTAGTTATTGATAAAGTAGACCAACTAATAATATTTACCTTTGGGTCAGAATCACCTACACAAACTGCAAGTCCTTCTGTTAAAATTGAATTAAAGACTGGGCGAGAAACTACAAGAAAGATACGAGCAAATATAGTACCTCACATCACTAACAGAATATCAGTGCCAGTGCAGAAAATATGTGTTGATTTACTAGCTGATGATGGATCTGCGGGAGAGAAAATAGATATCTTAATTGGAAACGATTATTACTTTTCATTCTTTAAATCAGAAAGTAAGAAATTGTGTGACAATTTGTTTTTAATCAATACTGAATTTGGTTGGATATTAAGTGGCAAATTTGATTCGGATGATCAAAATATATATAGTATAGTATAGTCAATGCCATGGCCCAGAATGTATGTACTACACAGAGCCTGACCTTCCTCTCAGAAATACAGATTTGACATTTTTGTGGTCACTAGAAAGCATAGGGATCTTAGATTCTCCTAAGGTTACAAGAGAAGATGAAGCAGTAAAACACTTCAACAACAATGTCAAGTATGTAAATCAAAGATACATGATTAAGTGGCCTTGGATTCAGTACCCACCAGAAATACCTACTAAATTTGGACTAGCATATGGAAGGTTGAAGGGGCTGCTACAGCGAATTGATAAAAATACTTAGGAAGAATATGTACAAATTCTTAAAGCACAACTGCAAAGTGGCACTATAGAATTAGTCGAACCTGAGGATGATGCCACAAGACAAAGAATTCCACCTTTACACTATCTACCCCATCATATAGTCAAGCAAGAGAGGAAAAAAGGAAGGTTGGTGTATGATGCTTCAGGGAAACTAAAAAATCATAAAAGTTAGAACGAATGTATAGAGGACCTTCTTTGATTGGAGACTTACTCGCAATTCTCCTACAATTTTGTACTTATAAAATTGCTATTACAGCTGATGTAGAAAAGGCCTTTCTACAGATAGGTCTCCAAATAAAAGACAGAGATGTCACAAGATTTCTATGGCTTAAACATGTAAATCAACCAATCTCTAAAGAAAATTTACTACACCTGCGATTTTGTAGCGTGCCTTTTGGGATTATTTCAAGTCCATTCATACTAACTGCTACAATAAACTACCTTATTTCACAAAACTACCCAGACTTATTGTCAAAGATTACCGATAAATGCTACGTAGATAACCTTGTAAAAACCTTGCAAAAACAGTAGAAGAAGCGCAACAGTTGTACAAGGACACTAGGAGAGTTTTCCAAGATTTGTCAATGAATATCCGTGAATGGAACTCTAACAATCCTGATTTCCTTAAGACAATTCCACAAGAGTACAGAGCAACGACTTCTGCAAAAACCAAGATGTTGGGTTTAGTGTGGGACACTAAAAAAGATACTTTGCGTCTAAAAATAAAAGAGAATTTACTGGATGAACAAAATACTAAACAAATTCAATATAAAAGAGAAATACTTAGCACTATAGCTTTAGTATATGATCCTTGTGGATTTTGTTCACCCTTAATATTACGTGCTAAATTGTTACTCCAACAGCTGTGGGAAAATAAACTCAAATGGGACACACTACTACCTGAGGAGTTAAAACAGAAATGGGATGAAGTAACTGACTGTTTAATGATGGTTCGAAATGTCGTTATACCACGATTTGCTTGTATTGCACCAGAAGAAAATACAGTCACATATGAATTACACTGTTTTACAGACGCATCAAAAGATACCTATGCTATAGTTCTCTACTTACGTTCAAGTAATGGAGTTGATACCAAGGTAGCCTTCTTAATGTCCAAGTCTAGAATTACACCAAGACAAGACAAAGATAGCTTGAAAATTCCAAAATTGGAATTACTCGGATACTATATTGGAAGTAAACTAATTTTGTATGTCAAAAATGTGATTGGACTAACAATTGACCATCAATACTTGTGGACAGACAGTATGGTCGTTTTGGGTTGCATGAAATCAAATAAATTATTACCACTATTTGTTTCAAGAAGAATCAATACAATCAAGCGAAACAAAGAAATCCAGGCTTGCTACATCAACACAGACAGTAATCCTGCCAATGTAGCAACACGACCTGACCTTTGGACAGAGAAAAATGACTTGTGGTTCCAAGGTGCATCATTTCTTCTTAAGGACAAAAGTGAGTGGCCACAAAGTATGTATCTTGAAAGTGAGGAATCGTCTTGTGTGTTGGGGGAGAGTCTGGACGTTTTATGTCCAGATATAACAATGGTGACTAATGACGAAGAGGATATAAATGAACTCACTGGGTGTAGCTCACCAAAACAAGATTGTTACCAGCTGGAGAATACCCGGGAGGTGAAAAATTTGAAGACACTGCAAAGAAAATATTTTCCTAATGAAGTTGAAGGTAATGTAACGCATCTCACCAGAAATGTAGGTCTGTATCTTGGTGTGGACAGTGTGTTGAGATGCCGTGGACAGATGGCTAACACGAACTGGTCTTACGATACCAAACATCCTGCTCTCACCCCTAGAGATAGTGAGTACACAAGCAAATTGATACAAGAAATGAGGAGAAGACTATCATGTGGGTGTGTGGCATACGTTAAGCTCGATAAGAGAGAAGTTTTGGATACCTCAAGGAAGAGCGCAAGTACAAAAGATATTAAGACACTGTGAGAAATGTGTGAAGCATGGATTTGGTCCCTATAAGCTACCGCACCTCAGATTTGCCAGCAGAACGAGTTAATTTAAGTGCCCCTTTTACCTACACCGGTATGGATTATTTTGGTCCACTTTACATCATTGGAGAAATAGGCAAGGAAAAGAGATGGGTATGATTACTTACCTGCTTAGCTGTGAGAGCCATCCATATGGAAATAGTGAAAGATTTAACTGCCGACGATTGTCTACTAGGTTTAAGACGCTTTTTTGCGAATCGGGGAAAACCTGAGGTAATCATGACAGACAATGCAACCCTTTTTAAACTGACCGCAGAAGTTGTCTCAGATACAATCAAGTGGAAGTTTATACCGCAACTAGCACCTTGGCATGGGCGTTT